AAGCTATTTACCGTCTTCCCAACTCCAGTCTCCGCAAGAATGTCAACTGTAATAGGCAAAGTGGAGAGTTTCTTCAAATATTTCAATAATTTCTTGGGGTCCTGGTTCGCGGCCAGGCGCGCCTGCAGCTTCTCCACGACTGGAAGCGCCGACTCCGCCGCCATCGCTGTCACTGGCGCGGCCTCCTCGCCAGAACTGCAAGGTTGTTTTCAAATTCAGACATCTTCAAGTTTTACTTCAAAGGCATCATTTGTTAAAGTTACTATTTTTAATACTTTAGATTAGAAAAATCTTTGGATTGAAAATGTACTCATTGACATCCAAATTCTTTCTTACTTTTCTGGAAAACAAAACTCAAACGCAAACCCACTCCATCTCATTTCTGAGTCACGGCAACCCTGTGTGTTAGAGTCCAACTGAGTTCATGAAGACGATCAGAAAGCTTTTTTCCTGGATCTCTGCTGGGTGGGTTCGAACCACCAACCTTTAGATCAGGAGCCAAGAGCCAAGCAAGCCTGACTCCCTGCCGTTGAGCTGATTCTGACTCAGGGTGACCCTCCACCAAGTTTCCAAAGTTGTAAATATTAATGGGAGGACACGGCTTCATCCGTCACTAGCAGTTTCAAAATCTTTTACCTGATCTCCATATAAAAAGACAAAGAAATCTAAAATCGTGACAATTTTTTCTGCTATAGACTGGGTTCACTGGAAGCAGGTCCTGGGATGAATATGGGATACAGAATGTCTACTAAGGAACAACATCTATCAAAGAGCAGGGGAGGAAGCAGGGTTGGGTGGATGGAGATGTCCACTGGGGCTACAGTACCAGCATAAAGTCAACCTAGTAAACAGGAGTTCGGCAGTGAATACCCCTCATCAGAGCTAAGAACTGACTCATAGCTGATCTTCCCACGATTTTTCAGAAGCTATAAATTTCATGGGAGGATATTGCCCATCTTTCACCCTCAGAGTGTCTGGTAGATTTGAACTACCCACCTCTGGGTAGGCAGTGCAATTCGCTATCCACAAGGCCACCAGAGCATTAGTCTAGAGGGGTGGAAATAAAAAGACAACATAAAGCCATCCATGTTTTATCAGAGCCAGCTCTTAATTGCGAGATCATCAAGAGTATTGTTAGGGTTTTTTTTAGCTCTTTTACTTTAGATTGCATAAAGTAGAAATAACATGCTTTTTATAATCAGAGCAGCTGGTGGCACAGAGATTCAGCACCAAACTGCTAACTGAGAGGTTAACAGTTCAAGCCCTGCTACCAGTGTGAAGATTAAAGCCTTGGAAACTTCAAGCGACAAATTCTACTCAGTCTTTTTTTTTTTAAATTTTTTTAAAATTTTTTCCTTTTTTTATTTAAATGAATTTTTATTTTATACTGGTTTACTTACAAACTTCATATACATTGTTTTTCACACCAGATCTTTCCCAATTCCTCATTAACTTTTAAAGCTGTGCACTTAAAATTTTTCTTTTCATTTCTATTATTTAAATGAATCATAAATCCAATCAGTCACTCATGGGCAATTTTACCTTAACACTTTTGAGCATTTATAAAGAACACTGCAAAAAGTACCCTTTTGCACACGTGCATATCTTTTTGTAATCTTGCCAGTTTGTGTTTGACATAGATTCTTAGAAATTGCTGAGTTAAAAAGTAAATGAGCAAAAAAAAAAAAGTAAATGAGCATTTAATAATGCTTTTATTATTGTGTGCCATTGAGTTAGATCGGACCCATATCTGATTCTCTGAAGGATTTTCAGAAGCAATGAATTAATTGCATGGGAGGAGATTGTCCATCTTTTACCTTGGAGCAGCTGGTAAAGTGACTGAGTTCTACTCTGTCCTATGCAATCACCAGAAATTGATTGGATTGTAAAGGGTTACTCGAAGTCGGGCACACGTTAAGTCTTCTTCCATCGTCTTGACTCTTAATGGCGAGTACCCATATTATTCCGCTAACCTGAGGTCGTGCACCCAGCAAATGCCTGAGCTTGTACTCAAACCTAGAGCTTTGCTTCTCTCATCCTCGGCTGCTTCTGCTCAGCTGAACCCACTCTGGCAAAGATTCTGGCTAAGGAACACTATATGCTCATGAAATTGCTAACAAAAAAGTAAATACACTTTATTGATTTTTACCACCAACTAATAATCTATGAAACTCTGGTGGAGTAGTGGCAAGAAGTTTCACAGCATTCCTGAAGGCATAAAGTTCGAGGCCACCAGCTTACTCTGCAGAAGCAGGATGGACAATCTCCACCGGAACCATTAATTTTGTCTGAAGTCCCTCCCCCCCACCCCAAAGGGTCAGGTATGGGTCGGTTCCAACTATACAACAATAATATGGAGACTTAAATGTTCAGGATCCAATATATGTTGAAGTTACTCACACTTCGTTTAATGCTCTTGTATTTTGATGTTTGGATTAAGGCTTGCATCCTTAGAGAAATGGGTGGAGTGGGATTTCAAAGGGGAGAAGTAAGGCAACAAATATGATATTGGGACTGATGGAGCCCTGGCAACACAATGGCTAGTCCACTCAGTTGCTAAACGTAGAGGATGGCAGCGCAAATCCACCAGTAATTCCACGGGAGTAAGAGATGTCAGCGTGTCCTGTAAGATTGCATTGTTAGGTCCCTTGGAGTTGAGTATGACTTATGGTAACCCTGTAGAAACCAGATCTAAGCTTTTCCTCATCCTGCATCGTCCTCTTCATCTCAGCCATGCTCAAGCCCCCACTGTCGCAGGTACTGGGTTAATCTATCTCCATGAAGGTCTTCTTCTCTTTTGCTGGCCTTTCCCTATATGGTATATTTTTCCAAACTCTACACCCTCCTGACAACATGCTCCTCGTATAATATGAGACAGAGGTTTACCATCCTTCTCTCTACCAAGCACTCTGTACTTCCTCCAGACAGATTCCCCGGGACATTCAGTACTCTTCACAAGCATCAAATTCAAAGGTTTCAATTCTTAAGTCTTCTTCATTCTATGTATATAAAAGAAAGGAAATTATCATAGCTCACATCTGTCACACTTGAGTGTTTAAACAGATGTCCTTGCCTTAGCAATCCTCTGCACAAGTCCAATTGCGTTGCTATGGTTAGAGTTGACTCAGTGGCAGTGAGTTTTCTTTTTGCTGTTGCTATCGTTGATTCTGGGATTAGAGCACACTGTAGGCATGTATGCAAAGGTCAGAGCTTGTATTTGGGGAAGGTCCTTTAGGGAGTTGGGTACAAGTTGGGTGCAACAGTATATGGGGGATTAGGAGATGTAGGCCCAGCAAGTAGAGGCTATTGTCAAGTGTTCATCAGTCTTCAGCTTTGATTTAACATTTTGCCACACAATTGAGCAGGGAGTGAATTTTTTTTCCTATTTTCTCAGGAAAATTAAGGGAGGGGGCAGTCTGGGAAATAACCTGATGAAACACTGCGATATTAAAATGGCCACACGGGGGCAGCAGAGGGGCAGGAATGAATGAAGATGGAGGGTTTCTTTTTTCAGAAAGATTCGTGCCAAGAATGATTTCTGCCCAATTTACTTTAAATAGACAATTCTGCCCCGTCAAACACGAATAACTAAAGGGTTATGTTAAACATCTAGGCATTATTCAGAGGACTAGTTTACTCTCCCATATCCAACAATGGAAATGGGCAACAATCTATACCAAAAGGATGACTTATTTTTATTTAACTTGGTTTTATATCAAAATCTCCTCTATTTCTCTATCTCTGTATCTTAATCTCTGTTCCTAACATTATCTCTGTCTTTATCAACTTTTTTCTTTCTTTAGCATCCTTCTCCCTCCCAAATAAAACATACCTACCATGTTTACTATTTATCTTGTACCCCTCACCGAAATGACAGAGGTCAACTGAGATACCACTTTGGTGAGAAATAGAGAAGCTATTCAGCTACACGGAAAAACCAGTAATCACTCTCATTTTCCTAAAACATCTCTTATTTGAAAATGGTTGTACTGTGTGAGGTAAATATATAAATATTTGAAAGGTACACTGTTCAGATTGCGTGGGGAGGGCAGGCAGGGGTTTTATGATTTTTTTGCAGTTTGCATATGAGATTGAGGAGATTGTGCAATTTTGGAAATGGGGATGAGGTTTACATACACTATACATATATCTAATGCCACCTAATTTGTACACAGACCCTAACACTAACTTGTCTCCAGGGTTTTATGATGAGTGTCCCTAATTCTGTACTACCAGGGACAGGATGACATTTCTCCATGATTAAAGCCTTTCTGTGTGCAGGCTGAGGGAGGCTAGCCACTATGGAGTGATTAGGTTATAAAACCAACAGCTTGTTTTCCATGTTACAAGTGCCCCTAAAATCCCTTGCCTCTTTCTTTTGAGAAAATGTAAATGAGTAATCCTTCACCTTGAACATAAACCACACCACACTTAAATTTCCTAGAATCCAAGGTCTTCTTGTAGCTATACATTCTACTCCACTTTCGAAATGGCTTGCCTCCAGAAACTCTATGTACGAACAGTGTTCAGGCTGTTCGTTCATAGGGTCGCTATGAGTCGTCTACGACTCGACGGCATTAAACAACAACAACATACATTCTACCAGCTTTGCGGAATTAAAACCAAAACTAAGAATATCTTGTTAGTAAACTACAAGAAAAGCCAGGGAGTGGCCATGATGGAGTAACTCCCTGCTATAGACCACGTCTTTCTTCTGACTGCAGACCACTGCCTACTGTGGACCACTGTTGTACTTATGTATTTATGTATATTGCATTCTGATGATCACAACTAGAAAACAGGAGTGAGTGTGTGTGTGTGTGTGTGTGTGTGTGTGTGTGTGTGTGTGTGTTTGGTGGTGGTGTTGGTATTTGGTATTGTGTGTCTTTGAGTCAGAACCTCCTCACACAGTGGGTTTTTTAGAGGCAGTAAATTACTTGGGAGGAAATTACCCATCCTTTTCCCACAGAGCAGCTGGCAGATTCAAACCACATGCCTTTGTGTTGACAGCGCAGCTTCTTTCCACTGGGCCATCCCCCGCACCTCTGTGTGTGCGTGTGTGTTCCTTTCCTGTGCTATCCTCATAGCCTCTGGCACACTTAAGCCCATTGCTGCCATCGCTCTGTCAATCCACCTGATTGAGGATCTTCTTCTCTTTCACTGTCCTTCCATCTTGCATGATATCTCTCTCCAATGAATGACCTCCCCCAGCAACATGCTCAGTGTATGTGAGATGAAGTTTCATCATCATTGCCAAGGAGCACTCTGGCTGCACCTTCTCCAAGACCTACCTGTCTGTTCTTTTGACAGTCCATGGGCTATTCATATGTCAGGGACCTCCCCAAAATACTGAAAAGCGATGATGTCAATTTGAAGACTAAGGTGCACCTGATGATCTAGGCCATGGGCTTCTCAATTACCCGTTATGCATCAGAGAAGTGAACAATGAATAAAGAGTTGTGGTGTTGGAGAAGACAGTTGACTATCCCATGGACTTCCAAAAGAACAAACAGATATGTCCTAGACAGGATGTGGCCAGAATGCTCCTTTGAGGTATGGATGATGAAGCTTTGTTTTCATACCTTAGACTTGTGGCTAGGCAAGGCTATTCCTTGGAAAGCAACATCAAGCTTGGAAAGACATCAGATATTAAGGCAGTTAGTCTCAAGTATTATGCACTCCTGTTTCTTGAATGACTGAAATAGAAGACATGCAAGTGGATTCTAATTCAGTATCTACAATTCAAGAAATAGAGAACACTAGTGGTGTTTGTTGTTGTGCTGTGTTGTGTACCGTCGATCAGAAATGAACCATAGCTTACCATCCAGAGGGTTTTCAGAAACAGTTAACTGCACAAGATAAGATTGTCCATCTTTCTCCTGTGGAGCAGCTGGTAGGATACGAATCCTGAGCCTTTGGGATTGCTGCACAGCTTCTTGCCACTGGGCCACCTAGTGGTCCATAAAAATATTTGCAGTGCAATGAATGAATGGAATTCCAAAATCTCTGTAGATGTTCATTGAAAATAATAATAATAATAACAATTTAAAAAATTTGCACTGTTAACCCAAAAGTCTCTTCTCTCTGGTGGTTGAAACTCACCAATGGCTTTAAGGAAGAAAGATGAGCAAGCTTCTCCCGTGCAATTTACAGCCTCAGAAATCCAATGGAGGGTCAGTTATGGATTGATGCCTACTTGGTGGCATTGAGTCCAAGTTTTGAGCTCAAGAAATGTTCTGCAAAATACAGTCTCTTGCCTCCTTCTGCATAAAGAATCACAAACTGCGTTCTTTGAGAGACTTGCTTATGGAAATCATTTAGCAAGTCCTATTTGGATGGTAACAAATACTTCTCTATCTGAGGACTTATTGCTTTTGTTGTTGTTTATTGTCATTAAGTCGGAACCAACCCATCAGTGACCCTTCAGTGGATTTTCTGCGGCTATAAGTCACTTGGGATGAATTGCCCATTTTCCAGGCTTGTGTCTGTGCCCTGGTTCTCATGGAAGATGAAATAAAAACCCTACAGAAAGAAATAAGTTATCTTTGATCAAATTGGTGGCAGAACCAACCATCACCTTGAATAATTGCTGAACAACTTAATGACGTGGTTTAGACTTATTTGCAAACAACCAAATTAGTCCTGACCACCCATTCCATCCTCAACTTTCTTGCCTATGTTCCTGAGGAGGATGTTTCCGGGAGATCAAACCCATACCTGAGCAGGCAACATGGCAGTGGTTCTTCTCCTCTGGATTGCCATCCCTGCACCACGTGTAACTGTTAATCTGAAAGATGCCATAGTCGACGCTTCCATCTTTTAGAACATTCTGTGCTGTGCTGTTGAATTGACTTTCATAGTAGGCCAGGCAGATCCCTAAAGGAGGTGAAAAGCCAGAAATGGCAGCTTTAATCTTTAATCTTCTTCTTGGAGAAGATTTGATGCTATCATAAATGATATCTCATTATCTCCTCCCAGCAAACTTTAGAGTGGGACCTGGCAGGCAGTGGAGGCATATGATAGTGGAGGGAAGAAGAAGATCTGAGATTCATGGGTAAATACCTGAAGCTGCACACCTAGTTAGGGGTTAGCCTAAGTATTCATTGCCATTGAGTTTATTCTGACTCATAGTGAGCCTGCATATGTCAGGTTTTTGGGTTACTAGTGTTTCAGAAAAAGAGGATCCGATCTTTCTACTGAGGCAACTTTGAATAGACTGGAACCTCGGTGAGTAGTGCAGCCTGTTAATCATTTGCACCCGTTGAGTTCCTGACCAGACCAACAGGAAAGGCATTGTTTCAACTTCTCTTTCTGGTGTAATTAGTATAGGGCACCCAGACAGAGGACATGGGTGAAGGAAGGAGAGGAAGTGTAGATAGTATAGAGAAAGTGTGATTACTTGGCAGTCATCCCTGGTTGGATAGAGAATGGAAAAGATGAGATCAAGGAGAAGAGTGTGTGGCTGTCTTGGAGAAGAGATTAGGGTAAAAAGAGAACAAGAAAGAGGGGGGGACCCAACTCACAATCTCCAAGGCTGAAACCTTTATAATTGTCCAGGCCGGCCCTTGAAAATATTTTTGCCAGTTTACAGCGAGTATAGACTCTGGCCTCAATGACTGTGGCCACACAGCTTAGTAGGGCCAGGATGCCGAGAGCCTTCATCCCCAAGGTCTGCTGGAGTCCGATTTCTGCCAAAGATCAGGAGAATGGTCAGTCACTCTCACTTTGTCATAAAGATACATCTTTCATCAGTGGAAACGTCAAAACCTGGCAGCTGAGGCTGTGGAAGACTCTGTCTAGATGTTTCCTGCAACTTGAATCATTCCCCATCAAAGGGAAAAAAAGAAAGCGTAGTGAACAAAACAGAAAAGGATAAGATTGCAGCCTCTTTCCTTAGTACATTTCTAAGTAGTTATTTTATTTTAATCACATTTTTATTATATACTGATTTACTTAAAAGCTCACATGCATTGCTTTTCACCCCAGATCTTTCCTATTTTCTTTACCCACTCCTCCTTCATCAAATTGTGTGACTCTATGATTAAACAACCCCCCGTCTTCCCCTGCCCCCCATCCTCACCCCTCTGCTCCCACCCTTCCACTCTTGGATCCTCATATACATTCTACAATATAGGTCTCATATGGTATTTGTCCTTCTAAGAAGTTCTTTTAAATTCAGTATTATGTCCCTAGGATCAGGCTAGGGAGCTCTGGTGGCCTAGCTGTGCCGCAATCCCAAAGGCACACTGTTTGAATCCACCAGCTGCTCTGTGGGAGAAGGATGAGGAATCTCCTCACATGCGAATAAACTGCCTCTGAGAACCTGCTTGAGGGTCAACTATGAGTCAGAACATACACAACAATAACTGGAACAGGCTAGTAAAGAAATTAACCTTATTGACATGCAGATGGAAACCAGAGACCCTGTCCCTAGGGTCTTCATTTTAACTCTGGTGGCATAATCCACAGGGGGTTATGCTGCTAATCCAAAGGGGGCATCTCTCTGGCAATTTAAATGCATCAGCAGATCTGAGAAAGAAAAATGGAAAATTTCCCTTGCAATTTACAGCCTTGGAAACCTCAATGGCAGGTGAGTAAATCAGTTCTGACTTCAAGGGCAGTGAGTTCGGAGTGAATAGAAAAACAATAAAAATACAGAAAACAAAAGATGCAGAATTCGACACTCCAGTTTCATGTATCTTAGCCCTAACCTGTTCTTATTAGAGATAAGATACATGTGTGGTGCTGGAGAAGAGTATTGACTATACCATGGATGGCTAAGAGAACAAACAGGTTCGTCCTAGAGAGGTTGAGACCAGGCTGCTCCTTGGAAGCAAGCATTCTGAAGCTTTGTCTGACATAGTTTGACATGTTGCAAGAAGGGACCAGTCCTTGGAGAAAAGACATCAGGCAAGAGAGGAAGACCTTTGATGAGATGAATTGACTCAATCACTGGGGTACCGGGGGCATGTGTGTCAGAGACAGTGAGGTCGGCACAGAATTTAGGGCTCTTGTACACAGTGTCCCTATAAGTGACAGGTGACGTGACAACATATAACAACAACTTAGGATTTTATTGACAGAAGACAACGAAAAGCTATCTTCCATGCTCTTCTCTTGATACTTTTCCAAATACCAGAGCATTGATTGAAAAAATACAACTTTTTTTATCATATGTGTAGTGTTGAGTTTTGTTTGTTTGTTTAGGTTTTTTGTTGTTTTTTTTTCACCCTGGGGCTCACTCCATAGTGGTTGGTCTCCCAACAATAGGGAAGAATTAGGATGAATAGTAATTGATGAGAAATAGAAGGGAATGTTTGTGTGAAGTAAGGAGTGCTAGAGAGACCTCACTGAGTTAAAGAGGAGTATAAATGTTTTCTTCAAAAAGCTCTTCCTCTTTTGAAATAATGTCTTCCACAAATAGAATCACTAATATTAAGTGCAAATAAAAATCTTGCTCAAAATTATTCAAAAACAGCTGGAAAAGTACATTGGTAGGAAATTGCTCGAAATTGAAGCTGGCTTCAGAAGATGTCATGAGGGAGAACTATCATTACTGATGTTCATTGAACAATCTTGGCTGAAAGCACAAAATATCAGAAAGATGTTTACGTGCATTTGATTATACTGTGTTGTTCATAGCAAATTATGAGTAATGTTGAAAGGAATGGGAATCTCAGAATACTTAATTGTGCTCATGAAAAACTGATTCCTAGACCAAAAAAGAGTTGTCTGAACTGAACAAGGGAATGCTGAATGGCTTAAATCTCCGTATTTATTTAATCTGTATTGTGAACTAATAATTCAAGAAGTTGGACTGTTTTATTAAGAATGTACCTTCAGGTTTGGAGGAAGACTCATCAACGGTCTGCATTATATAAACAGTCTTGTTTGCAGTTAGTGAGGAGGACTTGAAGTACTTGCTACAGGAGATCAAAGATCACAATCTTCAATATGGGTTACGGTATCTCAATGTAAAGCAAAAATCCTTACTATTGGACCAGTAGACAACATTGTGATAGGTGAAGAAAAGATTGAAGTTTTCAGGGATTATAATTGAACTTGGATCCATAATCATAACCCATAATGTTGTTGTTGTTGTTATGTGCCATCGAGTCGCCTGCAACTCATAGCGATGCTATGTACAACAGCACTAAACCCTGCTCTATCCTGTGCCAATCTCACTGTCTCTGACACACCTACCCCCATTACCTCAGTCACTGAATCAATTCACATCATAGAGGGTCTTCCTCTCCTGCTCTGTCCTACACTCCCAAGCATAATGTCCTTCTCCAAGGACTGGTCCCTTCTTGCAACATATCCAAAGTATGTCAGATGAAGCTACAAAATCTTTGCCTCCAAGGAGCAGCCTGGTTTAATCCTCTCCAGGATGAGCCTGTTTATTTTCTTTGCAGTCCATGGTAGACTCAATACTTTTCTCCAGCACCGCAGCTCAAGGGCATCAATTCTCCTCCATAATAGCATCAGTCAAATCAAAAGATATACTGTTGGGGAAAGCTGCTGTGAAGAAACTCTTCGAAGTTAAAAAGAGTCAGTTTAAAGACTAAGATGCAGTTAAGGCAAGCTATGAAATTTTTCAGTTTTTTAAAAAAAATTTTCTTTTGCATCTGAAAATTGACAAGGAATAAGAATTGCTGAAGAAGAAGTGATCTGTTGGAATTGTGGTGTTGAAGGAAAATACTAAATATAGTATAGACTGCCAAAAAAGTCTTCCTTGAAGGAAGATCAACCAGGGTGCTCCTTAGAGGCAAGGATGGTAAAACTTTGTGTCAAATATTATGCATATATTGTCAGGAAGGTTCAGTCCTTGGAAAAAGACATTATTCTGAGAAAAATTGGGGTTCAGAGGAAGAAAAGAAGGCTTTCAACAAGATGGATTGACACAGTGACTGTAACAATTGACATGTTGGAGATTGTGAAAATGATACAAGATAGAGCAAGGTTCCAATGTGATTTTCATAGGCTGTGAGTTGTAGTTGACTCGACAGCAATCATCAACCAAATACAACACCTCAGTGAAATGGGAATAGACTGGCATTTCTAATAATTGCTCTTGATATTGAACCTAATATTCCTAAATATTTTCCAGCTAGTACCATTGTCTGTACCTGTCTAGAAATTTTTAAAGGTATTGTAATTTTTTTTCCTCTTGAAACTAGGTTTCCCTCTTGAAAGATTTAACAACTCAACTCTTTGCCATTGAATTGGAAGCAATTCATAGTAGATCCAATTTTGATTTTCTGTGGCTGTAAATCACACAGGATATTGTCCATTTTTCTCTCACAGAACTGTTAACTGATTTGAACTACCAGAAAGACACCACCTTTGGGTTAGTATTGTAATGTCTTATAGGCTAGGCCACCAGATCCCCCTTAATTGAAGGATGACATTAAATTGACAACACCAAAATAAAGAGTTCTCATGGTGTGGAAAGAGCAAAGGCCGCACGAGGAAAACCATGCCTGACCTTTACCAACTCTGCAAAGGAGAAGTGTCCTCATCGACAGCACCAAAGCATAAAACCAGGACCATGAGGTTAAACATGTCCCTCACACTCCCGCACCTCTTTCTACACATACAAACACACATCTTACAGCTTTCTTGGCTCCAAAATCTGATGTGATAGCTCACAGACCACACAGAAACATACTGAGGAAGTCAAAAGGCTGTAATTCAGGTTAGAATATAGTCAGGACTGCTTCCTAAATGTGCTTTCAGTCACCTCAGCCTCTCAGCTTTAAGCAAGGTACAAAGCTCCCAGTTCTGCAAATTATGGCCTCCCCCCGACCCCCAAACCTCCAATAAACTTAAACAGCTCTTATCTCTGATTCAATGGCATAGCAGTCCTAAGGTCTGCTCCATCTCACATCAGGTCTCTGGTCTTCTGCTTTGGCCACTGCTGCTGCTGCTGTAAATCTAGCTGGTGTTAAAGACTCTGGCCCCAAAGGGTGTACACTTCATGCCTGCTTCTTCTTTTCTGTGAGACTCTTGAATTTGTCTCCAAGTCTGCTCAATTTGGTGGTGAGACTAGCCAATCCCCTTGTGGATAAGTTAACACACTCTATTCATGTCTTCTCACCCATTCACATGGCAAAGCCCAATTCAATGGCTAGGAAAACCATTTTGAATAATAAACCCTTACCACCACACGTGGTCATAAATGTTTAGAGATAATAAAGAAACAAGCAATAATATAACTACCTACCCTTCACATAGGCTACATAGAGTTAAAACACAAGACTAGTCAATGTCAGTAAACTAGACCTGCTTTGTTATGAAAATTTTATTGGCACATAGTTCTATCATTACTTGTTGCATCGTTGATGGCTGCTTTCATCTTACAAAGATAGACACGCCATTGCATCAGAGATCACATTTGTTATAAACATTCATTATCTAAGCTTTTACAGAAAAGTGTGTTGATGACTGATGATGACATTGTGTTAGAGATCAAGAGAATGAACAAATAAACTTAAAGATGCAGAGCTTACACATGAAAATGGTTTCTATTCTTAATTTAGAATCCTATTGAACTAAAATAATAAAACATAACCCTAAATCCCACTGCAAGCATTATGTTCTACATTTTTGGGGTCAGGTATTGCAGTCTCTGGTTCTTGGTAAAGGGTGGCTACATCAGAGTCAAATATCTT